GAGAGAGAGAGAGAGAGAGAGAGAGAGAGAGAGAGAGAGAGAGAGAGAGAGCGCTTATTATGACAATAGAAGCTTGTGGTTTCCAGAGGGTTTTGAATATAATTTGAGGTTAAAGAGAAACAACAAAATCACTAAAAATGACTTACAATTTATTACTCTCAAGTCTTTCTGTTTCAGGAAAAGCCAGATGAGCTGTTCCTGGTACGAATTAAGTTCTCTTCCTAATTCACCCTCCAGGCTTCATTTTGGCCTTGTGCAATCTCCCTATGGAAAGGGCATTGTTTCGTGATTTCTTTTTTTTCTTTTTTTTTTGGTTTTTTACTTTTTTTTTTTAATTTTAGGATTTTATTTATTTATTTGACAGTGAGAAAGAGAGAGAGAGTGCCCGCACAAGTAGGGGGAGCAGCAGGCAGAGGGAGAAGCAGGCCTCCAGCTGAGCAGGGAGCCCGATGCGGGGCTCAATCCCAGGACCCTGGGGTCATGACCCAAGCCGAAGGCAGAGGCTTTAACCCACTGAGCCACCCAGGCACCCCTGTTTCGTGATTTCTGATACAAGTCAGACCTGGCTGGCCATCACTTCAGCCAGTCACCGACAGCTGTAATGGGGGACCTAGCCTGGTACAAAAGCCGCCAGCCCTGGGTGTGAAGGTCACCATTGCAATTTGGCCTGAAAACTGGGACCATAACATTTATGCTTTTAGGGAAAGCACATTGTTCATCTGGAACTTGAAGGGATTTTTGTTTTCCTCCTACCTGAGCCAGGAAACTATTCAAAGTATGTTTGCAACGTGCTTAGCACTCCCTACTTGTCCACGCTCTCCTCCAAGCACGCACGAGAGCACTAAATTGTGGGTGAGCTGCTCATACCAACAAATGCCCCCTTCATGGTGCTCTCACAATGCTCTCTCACTTTAGATGGCTCCGTGGACAGGCGCCTGGCTGGCTCAGTGAGTAGATGAGACTCTTGATCTCAGGGTTGTGAGTTTGAGCCCTGCACTGGGTATGAACATTACTTAAAAATTAAAAAAAAAAAATTTATTATCAGATGGCTCCTTGTTGTGGGTGACGTTGTGTTTTCTTTTTAGCATAGGTGAGTAAGATACTGAATTTACTACTTTATCAGTATATACTTTACTACTTTATCAGATAATAGCACATAAAAGGGGTTTGGGGTGAGATGGGTGTTTTAAGCCCACCCAAAACATGCTTTTATTAAACAATTTGAATGCTAGAAAATTCCCTGAGGCCAGCGAAATTCTTCATAGTACCAATACTCAATTTAATTTTGCCTACTGATTCTAACTTTGTAAAGAAAAGTAGACAGAGGGGAAAAAGCTAGTACCTGTAAGCATTTATGATGTGTTGGGTACTGTATTCACCAATTAACCTACATCATTTAATCCTTACCTAAAACTTCAAGGCAGGTGGTGTAAGACTCACCAAGGACAAGTCACTTGCCCAGGGCTAGGGTTGAAACCCAGAGCTGTCTGGTTCCAGAGCCTCCCCTCCACCCCCCACCCTCCCCTGGCATGGACTCTTCCCTATAGACCCAAACTGTTGTGTTTTAGGAAAGGCAGCTGTACTTCAGTCAACTCTGCCACTCTGATTTTTGAAGAACTGTTTGCCAGCTCTATTCCTTCCATAGGATGGTTCCAACATTAACTTTGCAACTTTAAAATAAGGCAGCAGTGGAAAGAAGCTTCCGTATGAGGACACGTAACAGTGTTTTCTGCCCAGAGTTCCTAATTCTTCACTGAATCCTCTGGCAAGTTTCCAGCAAAGAAAATTAGGTGTAGGGCGCAGGGGAGGCCTTGACCCAGAAAGCTGGAATCAGATAGAAGGCTGAGGGCTTAGAAAAAGTGTGGTTTGGGGAGGTCAGAATTAGGAGAGATTTCTCTCTGCTTAAAGAGGAAGAAGGTTTTAGGAACGTTTCAGGGAGGAAATAGCATTTAAGCAGAGCCTTGGCCTTGAAGGATGGGGGAAAACTCCTCTCAAGCAAAAAGGAAACCGTGAACAAAGACACAGAGGCAGGAAAGTGAGAGCACTGGTGGGAAATAAGGTATTAATAGTGCTATATTATCAACAGTGCTGCTCTTCGTAACAACACTCCGGTATCTGGTACAAAATAGAATGTGTTCCATAGCCAAGTATGTTACAGTCCTCTGTTGCGGGAGGAGCCGTCTTTTCCATGCTACGACACATCCGGAAATTCTGCTTTTTGAATGGCATATATTTGCGTAGAAGCGGACACATTAATGGATGTCAAGTTTAAGATCCTGTCTCATTTTGCTTCTGCAGAAGGAAACTCCACTTGCCAACGCCGCCTTCTGGGCAGCAAGGAGAGGCAACCTGGCCCTGCTCAGGCTGTTGCTGAACAGCGGTCGAGTGGATGTGGACTGCAGGGACAGTGTACGGATGGATTCCTGCGGTATATGCATGCCAGGGGCACGCCATTTCCCCTGCCGGCATGAGAGCAGCTCCCAAATACATTGCCCTTTACAGTGCTTACCTACTTGCTCTGTATGCTTGCTTTATCCTTTATAAAGTCTAGGGTACCCTGGTGAATGTAAAAACATATTTGGGGCTAGGGGGCACTAGGTGACTCCGTTGGTTAAGGGTCCAGCCCTTGATTTCTGCTCAGGTGGTGATTTCGGGGTATGAGATTGAGCCCCAAGTCAGGCTCTGTGCTCAGTGGGGAGTCTGCTTGGGATTTTTTCCCTCTGCCTCTCCCCCCGACTCACACACTTTACACGCATACACGCTCTCTCCTCTCTCAAATAAATAAATATTTTAAAAATTTAAAGACATATTAGGGAAACCATTACATGCATAAGACAGAAAGCAGCCACAGTAAGGAAAGAGGCACTTCACTGGGAATTAGAATTGGCAAGGTCCAAGAAGAAAAGCGTTTTTAGTCACAGAATTCAAACCAACTGCTTCCATAGGAAGTGGAGATAATTCAGAGCAGAAGAGGACTGCTGTGAATGTGTAAGTTGGGTTTTTCTGCAAGGAGAAGAGAACTGAGAACGGAAGCTGCCACCCAGCCTCTTACCTTTCATTATCATTGCAAACATCAGTACACTCACTGGTGAGTAAGGATCTAAAGATGGATACTACTGCCCACTGGCAGGCATCATCTGGGAATGATGTTCCCTTCCCAGATAGAAGCAGGGATTCCTCTGTACTCAGCAGGACGATACAACTTTAGGGATCAGGAAGACAGAGAGAGAGAGAGAGAGAGAACAAGTATTTGTATTTTAGGGATAAAGATGTTTTCAAGGGAGCCTTATTGTTTTCCCAAAAACAGGATGTGGCATTACAACTTTTATTGCACAAGTTTGGTAAGTGCGATCAGCTGCACCCTGAGATATCCAGGTTGGCTCCATTTTGCCTACTGGGGGCATCAGTCTGCAGTGTCTTGGGTCTGCACTTCCAGACCCACCCAGACCCTTCTTCAGCAGGCTCTGTGTCCCAGAGCCTGAAAGGTAGGGCCTAGTGGACTTGCTTCTCTCTGACCTCCAGTTGGGGTGGCCAATGGGGGCACTGGTAGGAATCGGAGGGTGGGAGGACAGGGATGTCGGGGAACCTGGTGGTCTTGTTCTGTCTGGCAGCAGTGCTCTAGTTCTGTGTCCTGGGAGTCACTGCCCTCCCCCACCACCCTGTGCCTTCAGGCTAGGCTGACAAGGGAGCCCCATTGCCGCTAGCTCCAAGTCCAACATTGTTCTTGTAGTGTCCTATGCCCAGGGCACAGCTTTAAAAATCACTAAACTTTCTTCCAGCTATCCCAGTGTGACTATGCCCTCTGCTCCTTGCTGGAACCCAGACTGATATGAGGTCAGGCATCTGTGAACTTGTCACACCAGTCATACTTGGGTCTTCTGGGCAGCAGTGCCACAATGGGCCACAATGGCATAGGAGCTCTGGTTTTCATTGGGGCCTCACCCTCTGATCGCATTGATGACCATGTTTCCTCTTTTCCTTGAAGTCACCTTTTCTCAGCCACCCCTATAACTTTTTCCTGACTTTCAGTGTCTGAGGGGCCACCTCACAGTGCCACACACATTCTGCCCCCAAGATAGTAAGTACCTCGTACTCTCAGCCTCCCCAGCACTCTTTCCTCCTTGGAAAGTGTGTGACTTGTCCTGCTACCTCCATTCCCCTCAGAGCTCATCCTCTGTCTCTCTTGGTCTGCTATCTCAATCAGAAATTTTGCTTCTATGAACAGATACTAATATGTTTACTCTTCCTCATTTGAAATAAAAACTCATTTTATGGGGCACCTGGGTGGCTCATTGGGTTAAGTCTCTGCCTTCGGCTTAGGTCATGGTCTCAGGGTCCTGGGATCAAGCCCCACATCGGACTCTGCTCAGCAGGGAGCTTGCTCCCCCCCACCCCGCTCTCTCTGCCTACCTCTCTGCCTACTTGTGATCTCTCTGTCTCTCTCTCTGTGTCAAATAAATAAATAGAATTTAAAAAAACAAAAACCAAACTCATTTTATTCACAGCTTTCTGGAAGAATGATTCCTTAACCCAAAGGAGTGAGTCTAATTGCTGGGTCATAGGATAGCTCTATTTTTTGAGGAACTTCCACACTGTTTTCCAGAGTGGCTGCACCAGCTTGCATTCCCACCAACAGTGTAGGAGGGTTCCCCTTTCTCCCCATCCTCACCAACATCTGTCGTTTCCTGACTTGTTAATTTTAGCCATTCTGACTGGTGTGAGGTGGTATCTCATTGTGGTTTTGATTTGTATTTCCCTGATGCCCAGTGATGTTGAGCATCTCCTCATGCACTATTAGGTATTTATCCAAAGGATACAAAAATACAGATTCAAAGGGAAACATGCACCCCAGTATTTATAACAGCATTATCAACAATAGCTCTCTGTGGAGAGACCTCAAATGTCCATCAACGGAAGAATGGATAAAGAAGATGTGGTATGTGCACAAGCACATGTGTGTATGTTAATGGAATATTACTCAGCCATCAAAAATGAAATCTTGTCATATACAACAACATGGATGGAGCTAGAGTGTATTTTGCTAAGTGAAATAAGTCAGTCAGAGAAAGACAAATACCATCTTGATCTAATCACTCATATGGAATTTAAGAAAGAACAGATGAACATATGGAAAGGGCAAAAAGAGAAAAAGGAGAGAGGGAAACAAGCCATAATAGACCCTTTTTTTAAAAAAAAGATTTTATTGGGCGCCTGGGTGATTCAGTGGGTTAAAGCCTCTGCCTTCAGCTCAGATCATGGTCTTGGGGTCCTGGGATCGAGCCCCATGTTGAAGAGCCTGCTTCCCCACCCCATCCCCCGCCTGCCTCTCTGCCTAATTTTGATCTCTGTCAAATAAAATGAATAAGTAAATCTTTTTTAAAAAAATTTTTTTAAAGATTTTATTTATTTATTTGAGATAGCACAAGTGGAGAGGAGGGGCAGAGGGAGAGGGAGAAGCAGATTTCCCACTGAGCCGGGAGCCCAATGCAGGACTCAATCCCGGTACCCTGGGATCATGACCTGAGCTGAAGGCAGACGCTTAACCAACTGAACCTCCCTGGTGCCCCAAGAGACTCTTAGCAGTAGAGAACAAACTGAGGGTTGATGGGGGATAGGCTATCTGGGCGATGTGTATTAAGGAGGGCACTTGCTACGATGAGCACTGGGTGTTGTATGTAAGTGATGAATCACTGAATTCCACTCCAGAAACCAATATTGTACTATATCTTAACTACCTAAAATTTTAATTAAAAAATAAATTATTTAGGGGTGCCTGGTGGCTTAGTGGGTTAAAGCCTCTGCTCTCTGCTCAGCAGGGGGTCTGCCTCCTCCTTTCTCTGCCTACTTGTGATCTCTGTCAAATAAATAAAAAATCTTAAAAAAATAAATTATTTAAAAATTAAAAAAAAAACAATGGAACAAGTCTAGATGGTAATTTCAGACAGCTTGTTGATTTTGAAAGGGTATGTAAGATTGGCGGTAACAGAGACAGAAAGATATTTGGGAATAATACAGGACTTGGTTCCCCTTGAAATTTCACTGGGAGGATTTCTATGTCCTTCAGGTGCCACCTGGACATAGAGTCTGGGTTACAGAATGACCCTGGTGGTGAATGACCTCTGACTAGTCCTGCTCTGGCCAATGGGGCCCCGCATCTGGTCCACCTGGAACTCCTAGGAGAGCTGATGCAGTGCAAGGAAAGGACCTGGGGCTCTCTTGGGAACTGCTCTCAACCTCAAGTTCATGGCCATGCTCAAACTTCCAACAAAAAACATTTAAAGTATGAATACATTATCTGTAGGCCACCCACCACACAGCAAATCTTTGATTTGCTAACATTTCACCTTCATTCCTAGATTAAAGTGGTCTCCTCATGATGTTTACATTTTTGCCTCCTTTATCTCTCTAATGCACACTAACCATCAGATGAGCACTGGCAAGCTCCCTCTAGCCTTTTGAGATGTATGAAGGTATGTGTCACTGTAGTGTTTGTTGTGGTCTTTGCCACATTTATATCCACTGTATCCAATGTTCAAAATCAGCTGGTTTTAAAAGGTACATTTTAACATCAGCCAGTGAAATAAATTAACCTTAACCTTTAGGGAATTATGGTTTGTCCAGCCTGATAATTTTGGATATAAAGGAAACATTTTTGTCTAGCTTAATAAATACATCAACGGATACTACTTCTTTGTTCTCTCTCCTTGCCTCAACCTCTGACTTTTTCTCAATTGACCATGATGTGAAGTTGAAATACAATCTATAAAGTATTTTTATATTTTGTTTCATTCAAGCCTCCTTCCTTTAAAGCAGATGCATATAACATTTTTTATCTTTCTTTTTAAATATCAAAATTTAAGTTGCTCTGTACTCCTTGTGCCTCATGATTGATTTTTATTTTGAAGCAAGTATAACCTATATTAAAAAAAGTATAACCTATAATAAAAACTTTTTCTCACCTCTCATGGAAAGGATGAATAACTCTCTATTCAGATTGGATTTCTTTTTAAAATTTAATGTGTAATTAACATGCAGTGTTAGTTAATTTCAAGTGTATACTATAATGCTTCAACGAGTCCATATATTACTTAGTGCTTATCAATATAAGTGTACTCTTAATCCCTTTCGCCTATTTCACCCATTCCCCAACCATCTCTCCTCTGGTAACCATCAGTTTGTTCTCTGTAGTTAAGAGTCTGTTTCTTGCCGGGCGCGGTGGCCCGCGCCTGTAGTCCCAGCTACTCGGGAGGCTGAGGCAGGAGGATCGCTTGAGCCCAGGAGTTCTGGGCTGTAGTGCGCTATGCCGATCGGGTGTCCGCACTAAGTTCGGCATCAATATGGTGACCTCCCGGGAGCGGGGGACCACCCGGTTGCCTAAGGAGGGGTGAACTGGCCCAGGTCGGAAACGG